TCAGATTCCCACAGACCTGAAAGCAGCAGAGAGAGCTGACAAACTGGGATGGCAGTCAGCTGTGTATCCCTCAAATCACTCTTCACACCCCATCTTCCATCTGGCACTTTAATATATGCACTTCGCCTGACTTTTCAAAACATCATGTTATTTTTTGTACACAGATTATAAAATTTTGAATTTTCATAATCATGAAATATGTGCTACTAACTTCTGAAGAGTATCTTAACTTACATTTCATATAAATATATACATTTTGCTTTATATCTTTAAAATTTGAAAATGTTTTTCATTGTGCTTTCATATTGGATAGTTAATTAATCTAAGCCAAAGTGGTTAAATGAAAAACAGTACCTTTCATAGGTCATTGATTTTATCCTTAACATAGTTCCTGGTCATTATGTGTGTTCTACCAAAAGAAATGAGTTACCTGGACAATGAGAAAACACAGAGTATATAAAAAATAACATAAAGAAACATATCAGATTGGATTTCTACACTCAAAACTTTAGCAATATATGGGGTCTGTGGTGATAGTTCAGTTGTTGAAGCACTTGCTTTGCAAGTATAAATACCTGAGTTCATTTATCAGATCTCTTGGAAAAATCCAAACTTTGTAGTATGTCCTATACTAATGATAGGGAAGTCCAGGCTACTGCAAACAGATGATTGGATGGTGTGCTCTTTGAGAAGCTGTTATGAGTCTATGTCCATCCATAGGAGGAAGAAATGAGTATGCAGAGCATGAGAACAGTTCTCATGGGCAGAGCCTGGGGTGAGTGCAATATGTGTTAGGAAGAGACTGAATGAAGGGAACAAAGTGTGCACATCTTTGATGAGCAGGGATTAGGCAAAAGGGCTAATTGTGGGGCCTGGATATTGGATGAGGATTTGGATTTTATGGTTCAGAGGAGAAATCACACAGTCAGTGATATCTTATTTTTGGTGAATTAAGCTACATTTCAGTAACAGAGGGCAAAAGCAGTGTGAAGAAACTCCAGGATACAAGGCTCAGAGTTGGTGTACACAAATATTACCAATGAGAAAGAAGATCTGATACAATGGTACTTTATTACAATAGATGTTGCCGTTTTCAATGGATTTCCCAAAGAAATCCATGGTTGCAATAGAAAAAAATTGAAAATAAGAGGAATATATGAGAAAACAATGAAAAACAACCATTCTCATTCTTTGACATTACTGTTAAATTTTTATTTTGTTTTAATTGATGCATGTTGAAATCACCATTTACTGAAGATATTTTTAAGAATAATTTTTATTGTTTCTTTTGTTAATATAAATTCTTGAAGGGTGTCATTTTATTGCTTCCCATCATTCTGTAATTTGAAGGCACATTATTCTAATATTATATTCTTATATTTTTCACATTTTCATTATTTTAAATATCATTATAAATCAACATGAAACCACACAAGTATTTTATTAGATATTCTGCCTCCTGCATTTATTTGGATAAGAGATATCATTTACATTGTAGAAAATCCTGCATTTGTTCATGTACTTACTTTGGCCTAATTTTCACTTTAACTATGATATGGCACATCTTACCTTGAGTCAGCATTAAAAATTGAACAAAATGGTAAACTTTACTGCTGATAAAAAAAATTCAAACTTCCCCACCTTTCCTGAAATTACCAACTTATTTTGTTTCCTGTTTTTCCTTTTATGGTGCTCTAATGAATTCTCCTCTACATAGGTATGTAGGTTGCCTCCATTGTTTCTCTGTTTCAAGTAACATTGTGATGAATGTTTTTGCACTAATTTTAATTACAGGGACATGATATATGCCAGTCTCTGGTCTCCACTGAATTCAGCTTCAGCTCTGAAGAGGCATGCTCCCATGCATTCACTCATGTAGGCACAGTTCAGGAATTTCAGTTCACTCACTCCATCAATAACACAACACATTTGTAACTTTTTCTAAACCATGTATATGAAGTGGTATATCTTCCTTAGTATGCAAACATGACCTCATTTTGTTCTGCATGAATTAATGGATTTTGTTCTATTTTCTTAAGCTTACAGAATATTCAATGTTTTATCTGTAGGTTGCTCATTTCTTCCAACTGATTATCTCTCTTTTGGTATATTCTAGATACTAGCCTACTGACAGTCATGATTTGATAAGGCATGTTGTAGCTGGAGTTTTCTCCAGTCCCGCTCAGACCCAAGTAAACACACAGAGACTTTCATTACTTATAAACTGTATGGTCGTGGCAGGCTTCTTGCTATCTAGTTCTTATATCTTAAACTAACCCATTTCCATTAATCTATACCTTGCCATGTGGCTCATGACTTACCAGTATCTTTACATCTTGCTTCTCATAGTGGCCGTGGCTGGCAGCATCTCCTGACTCAGCCTTCCACTTCTCAGAAATCTCCTCTCTGCTTATCTTGCCTATCCAATACTTCCTGCCTGGCTACTGGCCAATTAGTGTTTTATTTATCAATCAGTCAGAGCAACACATTCACAGCATACAGATATCCATGGCAGCATGCTCCAAGTGACTGCCTTGTGCCTTAATTCTACTATATTAAAAGAACGTCGGGCAATTTCTCACACTGATCTTCAGTGATTTAGATTGTAATTGTTTATTTTGAAGTTTTGTAATGTTTAAATATATGTTTGCACTGCTTTCCCTTCTCTGTCTTTATGGGCATGGCTACCGGATTGCAGTTGTCTTAGAAGCTGTAAGAGGATGACAAATTCCCTGGAGCTGGAGTTGTATATATTTGTGAACTACCCAATGTGGGTATTGGGAACGAAACTCTGGTCCTCTATAAGAGCAGTAGATACTCCTAACCTCAGAGTTAAGTCTAAGTTCTTCTGACATGATCATGCATTAACTACAAGGCCATTTTCTAAGTTAAAGAAAGTGAAGAGTAGAAAATAAGAGGAAAGTTTATACAATGTACAAGAGTTTTCATTGTGAGTCTGTGTTTGAACTGTAGAGATAGTATTAATGTTATTGTTCTAGAATTTCATACATTAAAGTAATGTGCTTTGATAAAATTCACCTCTCTTCCTCCCCTCTAATTCTTCTCCTATTTCTCCTCCTACTTTTCCCTCCTAACTTCATATATATATGGACAGAGAGAGAGAGAGAGAGAGAGAGAGAGAGAGAGAGAGAGAGAAAAGAGAGACTTAGTGCTTCCTATATGTACATGGCTGTAGGACCATCTACTGGAGCATAAGTAGCCTCTATGGGACCTCATCCCTTAAGGAAACTGACTGTTCCCCTCTCAACTGCCATCAGTTGTCAACAGGTCCTCAGTTAGGGATGGAACTTCATGAGTAAATCACTCATCCATGCTGGCATTTGGGCTGATTTGATCCTGTGTGGGCCTTGTGAGTGCAGTCACAGCCACTATGAGCTCATGTGTGCAATAGCCTTCTCATAGCTATCAAATATGTTTCACTGTAGATGCCTAGTATCACTGCCTCTTATAATCTTTCTGCCACCCCTTTGATGATCCCAGAGTCTTATGAGGAGGGGGTCTGATATAGCTGTTCCATTTATAACTGAGAACTCCATAGTATCTTATTTGCTACATTTTGACCATTCTGCATTAATCTCCATTTATAATAACAACAAAAATGCTTCAGTGATGAGGGTTGAGAGGTACCCTAATCTATATGTAGAAAGATAAGAACTTAGGGTCTGTGTTATTACTATTGGCAAATTATTACTTGCAGATTCTCCTCTACAACCTACTTGTGTAACCACAAGTTCTTGAACAAATAATGGTACCAGGTTTTGGTTTCTTTTGTGCAATGGGACTTAAATCCAATCAGAGAATGGTTACCTACATCTTATTTGTGCCATTATTGCACTAGTGGGTGTAACTTGGTAGGTCAGTTGTTATTGTTGGTCACTGTGTTTATAGCTGGGCAAGACTGTTGATTATTTTGCCCCAAGTAGTGTGCAGATCATCTTACACCACTGTAAAAAGTAGACAGTAGGGATAAAAGCTTCATGCCAGTATCAGCTTGAGTTCCCCATGTCTTGTGATTAAATCATAAGGTGTCTTCAGCACCAGAGTCTTATCATAAGATTCTGGAGAATAACCAAGAAAGAATACCTTGCATTGTTAAGGGATCTATGAGACCCTACTGACCAAAAGGAGGCATTGGTTAGAAACTTTGTAACAGTTGTATAAATTGACAAGATATTTTCGGGGTGTTTCTCTATTATCTTAATCATACATTTGAATTTTTAAAAATAAACCTGTAGAGGAAATTTTTCAAGTTGGCCATTCATGGCTTAGATGTTTTTACTTTTATTTTACTTTACTTAGATGTTTTTTTTCAGATGAGCAAGTAAAGCTTTATTTGTAATCATTTTTGAGTCATTGTGCTTTCTGAATCAGAGAACTAATGACTTTCATTAGTTATGGAAATGTGGAAAGTCTGTTTTACTCTTCTAAAGACTTAATCTGTATTAGACCCGAATTTAGACCTTTAGCTCTTTCATCTTTTTATATCTTTGATTTTTTAAACTCATAACTCATACCTGGCACTGGGCTCCAGGGGAGCCATGGATTAGCATATAGAGCATGTATTTTTAATTGTCTAGTATGAATAAATAATATTCACATCAACCTTAGTTTGTGATGATGGAAATAAGTGTCTTACTCCTTACAGGCCATTGCTCAAAATTCATCTACATAGAGTTTTGTAAAACAATTACACTTTGCTTTGCTATTCTTCTCTTTTTTTTAATAGATAAAATATCATAAATAAATCCTAGATTGGCCTCAAGCTTGCAATCCTCCTGTCTCAGCCTTCTTCTGTGTTATGGTATTTCAGTTATATACCATTAGACCCTGCTTCAGAATGATTACTCCTGACTGGAGTTGAAAGTAGTTTTGCTCTCCAGGTTCTTCCAGTATTAGTCTGACTATCTTGGTGTACACGTGGAAAAGGAATACATTGTCAGCTTTTAAAACAGTTAATGAGGGATTTCTTTTACTTTCAGCAAGTCAACGAAACCACAAGTCCTTCAGTGTTGCCCCCTTCAGCGTTGTCACTGGACCTGCTCAATAATGCCGTGACCGCCTTCAGTACCTTGGAAGAGCTGATTCGGTATCTAGAGCCCGACCGATGGCAGATGGACTTGGACAGCCTGTACAAACCAGCATGGCAGATTGTGGGCAAAGCGTTTCTTTATGGGAAAAAAAGCAAAGGTAAGCTTCCTCTTCAGATTAGAATGTCTTTCAGTGACTGATGTTTTCCGATTCTTTTGCCACAGTTTCTAAAACGGAGAGTTTAAATGCCTTTGGTGATATGCTAAAACAACCCATCTTATTATCATCTAAGCACAGGAATGTATTAAATGATGATGTAAACAAGAGGAAAATCAAGACACTTGTGTTGAAAATCCCAGTCTCTTCCTGTCTCGTCAAACACTGTTTTGATTGAACACTCCATTGGGTTTGATAAGAATCATTGCTAATAAGCTAATCTACATTTTGAGATTCAAGAGAAAAGATCAGAGATGAAAAATCAGGTTTAGGGTTTAAAAAAATGGAGATATTTTATAGAAGTCATTTTTACTATGTGTTCCCTGGGTCAAGGATGCATCCATTCTGTAAACTTAGAAAGTTCTAAAGAGTAGGGGAAATTGTAATTGTTCAACTTGATGAGATAGAAGTTCTCAAGGTAGGATTCACAGCAAGAAGACAGCAGCCTACAGGGGAACATACAATGGGAACTTTTCTCCTGGTGAATTTTCCTTTGAAACCATCACTTTTGACCAAATTGGTCTATCTTCTTTTAAGAGCAAAAGTTATGATATTAACCAAGTTTCCAGTGAAGTTAGCTAGTTCTAACAGGAACATTGGGATTGTGAAAGAGCTGTATCACACAAATGACAATGGAGAAAATAGCAGGAAAATTAGACTGCACTCAGAAAACACGGTTGCAGTCTGTCCGAAGTGTCTAGTTGGGAATGCTTGTGAGACTAGAAGGACAGTAAGAATTTATGTGCAAGGAACAGTGTTTAGTTACTTTGAGACGTTCACCGTAGCAGATTGCACCAGTCTTTTGATAAATCCTGTAAGAAGAAACTTGATTCTTGCCTTTCCTTCACGCCCTTGCAGCCTTCCCGATCATGAGCTTTCATCTCAGCAGGTCACGTTTGGACCTGCCCAGGTGTGGTATTTCAGTATGCTGACAGACATGGTTTCCTTTTAAAAGTATTTGAACATGGCTATGTTCAAGGGCATGGGCATCTGAATCCTTTCCACATGCTGGATGCTGTTACATGTTTAGCAGATCTGATCTTGATGAATAAATTACAATGGCACTTCCCTTTTCTGCACTTAGGAACAGGAAGTTGAAGCTCTGCATGAGTAGCCGAACATCCCATGAATTGTACCTTTCTTAGCAATACAAATTAGATGATGCGGTGCATCCACAAGAAGCAGGAGTGAAAAATTGGTTTTAAGCATACATAGAGTTTTTGGAGAAGTGATGATGGATTTCAGCCTAGGTCCTTTCTTTGAGTCATATTGTTAAGCCTGGATCCCCATGCCTGCTGCTCATAGATTTGACCACATGCTAGCTTATACTGAAAAGAATCTGGTGTTGATCCAGGTCTTTCACATATTCATTTAACACCTTCGCTATCAAAACTCTTTGCAGTTTGCCAAAAACATTAGATTTTTAATTCATACAGTAAGTGTGAGAAAAGTCTTGCATACTTTTAGGACTTTACACACTAAAATGCAAGTGTTGGCTAAGATCTCAAGACAAATCAGCTTCCCTGCAAGAGCCTTTCTACAAAGGGACAGGGAAATACTTTTAAAAGTGTCTAATTAGACCTTGAAATAGATTTTTCCCAGAATAAACATATCACAATGTTACCACACTCGTTTTAGAAAGACCACCCTCAGATTGCACTACTGTAATATGATAGCCTAGGATTGAGTATCTGCAAAAGAAGGAACAGCTAACAAAGTAAAATGTGCCCATGTTTTTGTCAGTATTATCCTCTCTGAAAAAAATTAGAGTGTTTTGACTTATTTTCTTTATAGCCCTTCCTCTAACTCAAGAGTTTTCATTCATATTGTGTGGCTACAAAAAAAAAAGAAAGAAAGAAAGAAAGAAAAGAAAACTTAAATAAGGTATTTTCTAAGTCATGCTTAACAGCACTTTCAAAGGGGCCTTTTGACTTGTGAGTCAAGCATGATAAATGAGTGGAAGTGGAGTTGAAAGTGTGTTTAAATTTTCACATTGTAGCAGGTACAAGAGCACACTTGGGAAATCTACCCTAGCCTTTTATTGTGGTTAAGTAAACATTTTCAGCAGAACATGTGCAGTTCCCTTTCTAGCTTTGTGAAATGGTATGTTTAAATGTGTGTGTGTGGTAGGTGAGGGTCCTTTAAAAGCTGGGTGCTTCATCCACATTCCAAAGAAGATTTAGATAGACCATACAAACTGTGGCAGTGAGTCTTTGCATTGTCCACTTTTAAAAGTATTCCACTCCCAGTCCAGGTTTCATATTTTCCAGAGAAAAGAACCAAATCAAATCACACATAGCCTTAAAATAAAAAAGGTATTATATATATTATATATATATAATATATATATATATTATATATATATATATGTATATGTATAAATCATTCAGCAAGACGGAATGCTGTAGACTCGGTAGCCTCATTCACATAGCGATCCTATTAATTTTACTAATAATGGATAATCAGTCTTTACAGGGGCTTTCAAGCAATTGACTCATTTGCTTTCAGTTTTTAAAATGCTTTGCTTTCATGGGATCATTTTCAGATGAAATCCTTAAGTAATCCAAATTATGATTTCATATTGAATTAATAAATACATTTTCAGCTGAGAAAATCATTGACATGGGCCTTTTACTATTGCTTTGGACATTCATAGACTTGACTGAGGTTTTTGGTCACTCCTATAGTTGAACATGGTTATAACTTGCAATTAAATATTCATAATCTAATATATTCCTTAGAATTCTTAAAAGCCCCCCTCAACAAACTGTATTAGTTTAATAAAGTCAAGAAAACAAGTGCTTTATTCATATTTACCATCACATGTTAAAACAATAAAAACTGTCACTGTTATTTTTCAGAATTGGAATATCACAGTGATTGTTACTATTTAAAACATCTTTTGCTCAGAAAAAAACACATTTATTTCTATTTTATAATTTTTCCAGTATTAATTTAAAGATACTTAACCTAATTCTTTATATTTTCTATAACAATATATTTCAGATAGTTACTAAATTTGAAAAAAGAATTTGAATAAATAGAAGGATTTGAAACATTTAAATTGCATTACACTTGGAATATTTCTAAGAAATAAGATAGGCAAAGCCATAAGACACAAACTAAAATGAAATTAGAATATATATCCTATAATTCCTTTTTCTGTATAAGTTCATAGTACGCATGGCATTTTTTTATATAGCTTTCCTGAGGCAGTATTCATGTAGATAAATACTATGGTCCTATGGGAGAATTTCTCCGTGCATCTAATGAAAGGATATTTTGCTTGTTCATCAAAAGCATGCATTAATTAATTAATTAATTTATTTATTTATTTATTTATTTATTTTTGGTTTTTTTTCAAGACAAGGTTTCCCTTTGTAGTTTTAGTGCCTGTCCTGGATCTTGCTCTGAAGCCCAGGCTAGCTTCAAACTCACAGAGATCCACCTGCCTCTGCCTCCAGAGTGTTGGGATTAAAGGTTTGTGCCACTACTGCCTAGCCAACAGCAGCTCTTTAAAAAAAAAAAAAAAGTTAAAGGATAGTGTAATTAAACAACTCCCTAGAAAGAATAGAGTCTGTGGTTATGAATTAGACATGCCTCCATCTTTCAAGAAGGGAACAAAAGAAATCTGAAGGAAGCCAATTGTTCCACATTTCAGAGAACACCAATTCCTAACACACTGAAGATCAGCTTTCCAGCAAGTGTTCTTACTCTGACAAATGTATCATTTCTTTCATGTATTGTCCATTCAGCTGTCTTCAAAACCACATTTTCTTCGTTCTCTTCATATTTTGTGTTCCTGATAGTCACAGAGATTGTAGAAGTTCTGTGGAAGGGTTTCAAAAAGCTCTCCTGCACTAACTGTAAGAGCCTGTAATCCTTTTTTAAAATTACATTGGCCTTTTAATCAAAGCATTCATACTCCTACATGCTATTCTTCCCTGCAATGCTCTCTTTGTCTGCTTTCTGACTAAGGTTAAAAGGTGTAGCCCCTTTTCTCTATATAAAGTTTCCTATTTATAGTTCTCAACTTTTCGTTGGCTCTTTTCTTCATATTGCACAATGCCACCTCTTCATTGGTCACTAAGTTATAATGAAGCTTTGTTTACTGTGAAACAGAAAGTTCAATTTGTGAGCTGTAGAGCCATACAACCTAGTTAAAATGAGAAGGGATATTGTTAGGGTGATCATTCGTGGAATAACTAGATCTCTTTTATAAAAAGAGCTTAAAGAAGTGGAAGCAGGCTCAAAGCACGAGCATCACTTTTTCCCTCTTGCTTTTCTTTATGCCCCATAGTGGTGAATCTGAACCTTCTCAAAGAGGAAGTACGACTCTACAGCTGCACGCCTCGGAACTTCTCAGTGTCCATACGGGAAGAGCTAAAGAGGACAGATACCATTTTCTGGCCAGGTTGTCTCCTGGTTAAGCGCTGTGGAGGAAATTGTGCCTGTTGCCTCCATAATTGCAATGAATGTCAGTGTGTCCCACGTAAAGTTACGAAAAAGTACCATGAGGTAAGTAGATCATTTTCTTTGTGGTTTTATGGGACATTTTGTTTCCTAAAAACAAAAGACTGAATCTAAAATGCATAGGTGTTTGAGAAGGACATGTTCCCATCACTGAAAAACTAAGCAGCAGGTCTACAAAGTGCTCCTTTTTTCACTTTTAAAATCAAGGCTTTTAATTTTAAGACACGGACATTGAAAATTTAGAAAGTACATGTAGTGGTAGATCGTGGCTGACCGGTGAAGCTTTGGTTCTTTTGTTTGTTTGTTTTTAAACTGTTTTTGTTGTTGCTGTTTTCTGTGATACTGGGCTCAAGCTCAGGATTTGTGTATGCTTATCAAGTGTTCCATTACTGAACTACCACCCCAACCCCAATGATACAAGATTTTTATTTCTTATATCAAGCACACAGCACCTTTCCCAGGAAAAAGAGAGTGAAGCTTTTCAACTATAATTTATTTTCAAACTATTGAAGGAGAATAGTTTAAAGACAAGCAGAGAAACAATTCACTGTCTAATTTTGAGCAATGAGACCTAAATAATTGTGTTTACATATGGTCCAGTTTAAGAACATAAATACTGTGAGGGCATATTTATAGGTAGGCTGATATTCATTATTACACTTGTTGCCTCAAATAACATGCTCCACATTTTATGAATTCTTTGATATTTTACTTCATAAAAACATAATCTGAACTATTAGCAATTACTGCAATGCAGAGCCTTGGGATCCATCATAGTCAAAATCTTCATGAGTGGAGGCAGGCTGAGTGCCACACACCTGCAGCCCCAGCTACCTGGAAGCTGTGAAGGAGCACCACTTGAGCCCAGAAGTCAAGGCTAACCTGGGCAACACAGAAAACTCAGGCTCATTCATGCTGAATAACTGAGTATATCCCACTTTACCTGTGTGTGTGTGTGTGTGTGTGTGTGTGTGTGTGTGTGTGTGTATCCAGAGAAGATACTTTTTTGGTCGTTCAGATTTAATTGTTACAATTTTTCAGATTGCACTTGATTAAGTCTGATCCTCTGCTTTGACTTTTGTTTAACGTCATTTGATAATTATTATTTGCACCCCAAAGGATGATTTTTCAAGTACAGCATGACATCAGTGAAACCATCTACTCTTGATTCTACATAAAGTGGTGTCATAAACTGTACTTCTTCTGACAAAATTTTATGCTTTTCAATAATGCTATGTTAGTGGTCGAGAAAGTTCAGGAGAAAGCAGGAAACTGCAGAAGATAAACAACCCTATTTCTATTCAGATCTACCATTAGCTTGTTGTAGCTTCCAATGAGATACATAATCTCTATAAAAATCTGGTAATCATCTAGCCCTTTCTTAGGCATCATATTTGAAGGTAGTTACCTTCCTTTTAGAAGGCACTGTCTAAAATTGGCATCTAGTAATTACAGTAGGACTGTCTTTACAAACCATTCTACCTGTTCTACATGTGTGCTCACGCCATCTGCTTCCAGATGTCCCCTTGCCAGCATCAGAATATCTGCTCCAGGTTTAAGTAGATTGTCAGTAGCACATGGACCTTGGAGCTCCAGGAAGGCTATGTCAATAGCTCAGCTTTTATAACTACTCTATGACTTTTATGACTACTCTAACCTAGAGTAGTCAGTGCTAGTACCCACTGACCTAGCACTGCATTCACCATGTACAGGACTTTAAAAGGTGCCTGTGTTAGGGAGAAGTGTACTCTTCCAAAATCATTGTTTATGGGCTAGCAAGATGGATCAACAGGTAAGGACTACTTCCACCAAGACGAAAAAACCTGAGCTTCATTCACCTAGCAGAAGGAGAGAACTGACCCCTGCTGATCATCCTCTGAACTCTATAGACACTGTGCCATACACACACACACACACACACACACACACACACACACACACACACACACACACACACACCCTGCACACAAATAAATAAAAATGAAATAAAAAAAAAATTGCCCATGTTTTCTTGCTTCTGCCAAGTGGAAATGTGTGGAAAGTAAGTCTCATTATAGTGTAGTACTGAAGAATACAAACTTCAGTGCCAGTCATGCTTCGCAGCCTCTCACATTTCTCAGCCATGTGATTTTGAGAAAGTTATTTAATCCCCCTGGGCCTCGTTTTCCTTATCTGTTGGTTGCCATCCCACATACCCATACACGTTGTATTGGAGATTCGTTGAGTTATTCTGTACAAAACACTTGAATGAGATGCAGCACACTTCAAGTCGTTCCTATATAGTATTGACCATCTTCTTCTGTGTCCGGTGTTTTATTATGGTGAATTATTAGTGGAGGAGTGAATTCACACCGGGGAAGGGCAGCTGTCTGAGACTAAAGAATCTATATGATACTCTGATAGCAGGAACGTTTTTCTTGCTTTTATATTTTCATAACTGGCCCAATGATTCCTCCTTATTTATAACTTCATAAATTTAATTACTCATTTCACATCTTGGTGACAGGAGAAAATGGAGGAGAGAAAACGAGAGAGAATGAACATGTGTAACTCTTTGTACCCGCCTTCTCCAGTTAGACCACGAAACTTACAGTTTCAGTCACTTGCTAAAATAGCTCCATCAGTTGCTAAATGCCCAATACAGGAGTCTGAAGATGACATTTCATATTAGACCAAAACAGGAGTGAACCCAGTTTCACGCATTCTCTGTAAACACCGTACAACACAACTAAGGCCCATCTCAAGAGTTCCTTCAAATATTTCATTTTATTTTTATTTTGTGTCTCAAGACAAGGTTTCTTTGTGTAGCTTTGGCTATCCTGGAACTGACCCTGTAGACCAGACTGGCCTCAAACTCACTCACAAAGATCTGCCTGCCTCTTCCTCCAGAATACACCCTCCCTGTACTAGAGTTTCTTAACCTGTTCTTTAAAGAAGGAGGTAACTAGAGGAAGAGCATTCTACTCCTTTTGAAGATATTTAGTAGATGCATCATAGGAGAGTCAGGCAGGAGGTAGAAGTGCAACTTGGGGCAACCCTCCAGCCTATAGAGGAACTTTACCTGTTGTACTGTGTTTCATTCCTGCTGGATAAACATGTGGAGGTGGAGGTGGGGATTGATGACATTGACTATACTGATGCTACGTTATACTGATACTATATTGATTTACATTAAGAAGCTTGTTCCAGAAAAAGAAAACAAACATGAAACAAGAATATGATAAGGAATAACACCATTTTAAACTTTATAATTCATGACACCCCAGCTAATTTAAAACAGTCATTAGTGACGTAAAATAATATCCAATTATCTAGTTAGTCATTATTGCAATTACCCGAATACATATATAGCGACTTGTGCTCCAGAATTATGAAATGTAATAGACTGAGAAAACTACTTTCAAAGCTCAGCATTTCTGACACTTACTGTAAGACATTGAAGTTTTATTGTTCAAGAAAGTAAGTTACTGCTAAATAAACTGATGATCAATGGTATTGAAGCTTCTTTCAAGTATTATTTATTGTTCTACTTTTAATAACTCATCTTTTAGCCTAGGTGCAAATAACAACTATTCCCAAAGTGTTTCTAAATCTACTCACTCATGTGTAAAGAAAAGTAATAACCATAGATTACCTCATAGGATTATTGTGAGTTGAAGTATGTAAACACATTATTATTGTGCCTGGCACACAGTAAGTATTCAAAAAATGTGAGCTAATTAAACTCTGATAGAACCATATGCTCCAAAAGTTATGTACGCATTTCCCAGGTTTATTTTGTAAGTCTTCAAACAGAAGATAACTTGGGTCTCTGTGGATTAATGACAACTTACAGGAATGGGAAATTTCCATAGTCACTTCATGGAGTTATCTGTATTATACATGGAAAGGAGAGAAAATGAACACTTTTATGTTATTATGTACCCTGGTCTTCACTCATAAACCAAGTAACATAATTTCTAGAATTTATAGTTTCTGTTATAAGAAATATTGACTGTCTAATACTTCAGATACTTTTAATAGAATACACAACTAGATCCTTTAGTCACAGCACTACAAGGATACATTTTTAATTTTGGTGCCCATATTTTTTATTTGAAACCTGAACACTCTAAACTGTGAATAAGTTCAATTAATAAAGGCATCGTTGTTGCTACTGAGCCTCCTAGTAAGATTCAGCTGCAGAAACTTAGCTGTGGCTGAGGATGATGTCTATGAAGTACATCTAATTCATCTCATCAAGTTTATAGAAGACTTGAAATGTAGTCAAGAAAATTAATGAGTGGCATAATTGGGCAGGCTCAGCTGTGGAATGATCAAGTTTCTTTCCGAACTATCTCCGTGGTTGAGTGTACTGTATCAAGTGTAAATATCTGTGCAGCCTGTGAATAAATGTATTAGAACAAGAAGCTAAAGCAACAGAAAAACAAATTGTGCATTAGTTGTTTCAATATACTTGAGGTGAAGTTGTCTCTCCTATGATTACATTTAGAAGTAATAGGCACAAGGTGAGTCTTTCAATTTGAGAGCTGTTCTGTATTCTGGGAGGAGTGTGCTTTGAAACTTTTGCCATTAACACACCCTTTCTTTTATGAAATGACAGTAGTGGATGACTTGGGGGCTAAAGTGGAGGACTGTGTATACAACTTATTTATGAGACACTCAAGCATGTAAGACTTTCTTAGGTCGTAAGATTTCATTTTGTTTTGTTTGAAGTGTTACTTGTCCTTGATGTCAAACATGGAAAAAGATTGATTTTTAAAGGTGGCATATTTATTCCCTTATAGGTCCTTCAGTTGAGACCGAAACTTGGAGTCAAAGGATTGCATAAGTCACTCACTGATGTGGCCCTAGAACACCATGAGGAATGTGACTGTGTGTGTAAAGGAAACACAGGAGGGTAACTGCATCTTCCACAGCAGCCCACATCCCCACTGGCATCCTGAATCCCCCACTAGACTCCCACATCCCCACCAGCATCTGCCACAGGGCTGTCAGATGCTGCCATTGGCTGTGGTAAAGATCTTACTCATTGTCTCCATCCAAAAATCTCAGTTGTTTGCTTCAACAGTCTTCCACTTGCAGGATTTAAAAGTGTTCTGAAAGAAGAGGCACCAGGAGGAGTCAGGAGTTCCACAGCAGTGCTTTTGAGAGGAAGGTCAAAGGATGGAAGAACCACAGAAACAAATCAAGTGTTTGTAGATCCCTAGCAAGCTCCAGAGTGACAGCATTTCTTTTCCACTGACAGCATTGCTATAATTTAGTTGTCTTGATATGGGCAAGTGATGTGAACACCAGAAAATGGTGAAAACTCACAGCTGATTGCGAACAATGCAGAAAACCTTGGATTTTCTCTTCATGTTTGCATATACAAATCCGAATGGTCTATGTTCTACAAACTCAGCTTTTAGATAGCAGCTATGTTGCTATAAATTAAATGTGCTGATAGGAAAGACTGGATTTTTCATGCTTGGTAACTTCTTTGCCATTTGGAAGAAGAGAAGTACAGTCCTGGTTTGCAGGAAGCACACCTGCACAGAGGAGTGGCCTCCCCTCCCCTCCCCTCCCCTCCCCTCCCCTCCCCTCCCCTCCCCTCCCCTCCCCTTCCCTTCCCTTTCCCTCCCTTCCCCCTGGGGTGGTTTATGTGTTTCACTGTGTACATTTTTTATATTCTCCTTTTGACATTATAACTGTTGGCTTTTCTAATCTTGTTAAATATTTCTATTTTTACCAAAGGTATTTAATATTCTTTTTTATGACAACCTAGATCAACTATTTTTAGCTTGATAAAATTTTTCTAAACAGAATTGCTATAGCCAGAGGAACAAAGATGGTATAAAATCTTACTTCTCTGACAGAAACACATGTATTTCTTTCTTGTATGGTGCTAGAGTTTAAAGTCATCTGTATTTGAAAAGATGGAATGGGGAAGTCAATAGAATTGATAGGTCGCAGGAACATTTTGATACCAACTGAATTATAATCAATTCCCACTTTTATTCTTAGCGATACAAATAAAACAGAAGATGTGTATACACTCATATGGAGTCATTGCTAATCTCACACTTTCTGTGGGATATAGGAGCAGAGCTCAGAGAATAACAGGCATCTTCCTGAAACAGAGCGACCACTTCCGGACAACTCTCTGTGGTGTGCTGCACTGTATGGACACATCCTATTTATTGTGAGGCTAGGGTTTTATTACCTTTAAACTCTGCTCCATACACTTGTATAAATACATGGATATTTTTATGTACAGAAGTATATCATTTAAGGAGTTCACTTACTCTACTCTTTGGCAATTGAAAAGAAAATCAGCATAATACAGTGCTTGTAAATGCTAAATACTGTGCCTAGGTTATGTGGTGACTATTTGAATTAAAATGTATTGAATCATCAAATAAAAGAATCTGGCTATTTTGGGGACAAGTGGAAGTATCAGTCTGTGTGTGTGTGTGTGTGTGTGTGTGTGTGTGTGTGTGTGTGTGTGTGTGAGAGAGAGAGAGAGAGAGAGAGAGAGAGAGAGAGAGAGAGAGAGAGAGCACATGCGTGCATGCACAAGTGTGTTCCCATGTACATGTGTGTGAACATGTAGGTCTCTTGGGATTCTAAGAAAAAGAAGATTACAAAGTCCGATGTTGCCATCATTTGTGTTGTACAAAAGTATCTGTCTGTTCAGAATACACGAAAGAGAAGGTGTTTCAGCTCAGCCTCCCCTGGCTTCCTCTTCTTTCTAGTGTCTTTTTGCAATGATGTTCCTTTTTTTCCAGGGGTATGAATAGTAATTCCAGGTTAATTAAATTGCATGGAACCTGACAGTTACATGTGTGTTGTAAAATGTTTAGTGATATGTGCCATGTGATGAGATGAAGTGGGGGTGGGTTTCATAAGCCTCTATTCCTGTCTTCATTTACCATGGCACCAACTGCCTGGACTGAGTCGTGGCTGGTCTGTGAATCACCCAGGGTATTTCAAAGTAGAGTCCTTCCATTCCAGGCACAGACCTCTTGGGATCTGGTTTCTTCAACACTTGGCCCTTGGCTTGATAGAATTACCACATGTGCAGACCTAGTATCTCCAGGCTGAGCGTCCAAATAGCACCCACTGTCTGCTCCCCTACTGCTGGCTGCCCTGCCCTGCCTCCCACCACATAAGAAACAAGTACACAAAATAAACCTGTTCTCTACCTCATTTCTTTAAATTTTTGCCCTTTTGTCCCATCCCTGTAAAGGCCCAGAAATCATTTCACCAAGCTTCACACAAAGTGCAAAACAGCTGGTAGTTTATAAGGTGGCAAAGCAAGGACTATAATGAATTGCAGTGAATTACCTACTTGATGTGTTTACCTTGCGTATTTCTATCATTTCCATGTATGTTTCAAAATATTTGTTGTTTTCTTTAGTGGTCCAAAGTGATCATAAAGATAGTAGTCTATTCCCTACCACTGGTGAGTGAGGGGTGAGTTTCAAGACTAACAGCCGATGATCAATTACTCTCATAACACTGTGTTTACCAAAACCAACAGAAGCTAACACATTCATTCAGTAGGTGACTGCAGTTTCTCACAAATCCATGACATGTTGACTTTATTGACCACAAATATTTTCAGTATGTCATATCCATGGCTCAGACTTCTGTTTCTGAGCAAAGGCCCATTTTTCATAGTGATGTGTATTAAAAAAAAAAAAAGAATAACAGTTATTTGAAGCAGTATTACTGACCACATTTTTTTTTATTTCTGCATCTCATTGTTACTTTCTCCTTCTCATTGAATATTCCTTATATGTATCTTGGAAATGTGCAAAGGACAAAACAGTGAGCCCTCAGAAAATCATACTGTCTGAACAGGTTTCCTCAGTGGCTCCCTCTCTTATCACATTTGATATCGAGGCTTATTGAACTCTCAGAAGCCATTTTTCTTATAACGTACCATCCTATTTCTGAGAGCCCAGCCCTTCCTTTATTTTCCTGCTTCCTGTGCTTTCAGCAGATCTCATTGACTGCCTTTTCCTCTCTCACATTTGTATCTACAGCCCCATTTCTGTAGCTTCCTTCTTTCTGGCCCTGCCTCATGGCTCACCCAATCTAGTAAAACAGCCTCAATTCCCCCACTCTAGTGTCTTTGGCCTCTCTCCTCTCTGATCCATCCTCCACCCCACTAAGAGCATGGCCTTTCAACAAAGCCAGTGATGTATGATGGGTAGAATTTCCCCAATAGAACTCCACAAGATTCCATTTTAATCTTCATATGGCACACCAAATCCCTCCTAATCTCACTGTTCACCACTTTCTGTTCATTTTACACCATCAAGCCTGACACAGCTGTGGTGGATATTTGTGGTTTTGTAAAAATGCCAGCACTCACTCACGTGTGTGCTAGTGTGTACTGCATTCTCTTAAGAGCACAGCTCCTACACATGCCCTTCTCAGTAGCTTCCTGCCAAGTGCCCTGTCAAACACCACTAGTCCCTCAAGCTTGGTTCCCTTCTCTCCACATACACAGACTCACAAAGATAGTTCAACTATAAATAGTGTTGTACTGAGTTACAATTACCTTGTTTTGGTTTCTCACTAATGAGAATCTTAGCAGGAAGTATATTATTATTCTTTCACCAATGCCTAATGAGGCATTGAATCAAACAGGGAGTCAGTTAACAATGTGCATCAATAAATAGGTGAGGTGAGAGTACACAAGGGTAAATAATGTTAAGTGGACCACAGACTGGGACATGGAAACTCGTGGGCTGTTAGATACTTTTGCCTTCAGCTGTGAGATGAAGAACACAAGAGACGGAAGCTGCGACTTTTCAGCTCTACAGAGTTGAGGCTACTATTTTGGCAGTGAAGCTGCCAAAGTAAGTACAGCAGGGAGACTTTTGTCTGCTGCTCATGATGCAAGGTTATAAAATTACCTTTCTCTTGGCCCAGAAGATTACTCGGTACGTAAAGTTGCTTGCTGCCGAGCCTGACTGTCTGAGTTCAAGTCCCATGACCCACAAAATGAAAGAGAACCAAATCCCACAAGTTGTCCTATGACCACCATAGGTGCACCATCACACACACATACACACATACACACACACATACACACACACACATGCATACACACACATACATACACACACACATACACACACATACACACACATACATACACATACACACACATACACACATATACACACACATACACACATATACACATACATACACACATATACACATACATACACACACACATACACACACACACATGCATACACACACATGCATACACACACATACATGCACACACACATACACACACATACACACACATACATACACATACACACACATACACACATATACACACACATACACACACATACACACATATACACACACATACACACATATACACATACATACACACATATACACATACACACACATACACACACACAGGAACAAATGAATGTAAAAATTATTTTTCTATTTTGAGATTTTAACGTTGGTTTTCTGGTTGATGATTGTCACACCAACCTTACTTCATGCTACTTCTTTTCAAGTCAAGATTCATAATTCCTTCATGGACTATTCTTATCTCAGTTACTTATGATAAACTGTTGTCAAAATAAAACAATCTTTAAACTCTGAACAAGAAAGCATGTCTGTGCTAATGACCTGTAATCTAATAGTTTATCTTTTTTAATTATTATGACTCATCAACCTTGAGACACCCAGTTCCAGCAAACACTCAGTTTCCTGAACATACTGATATTCTTCTAGATGCCCATGCTAAGCTCCAGTCCTGCATTTACCTAAGTCACTCCCTGTGCAATTACTAAAGTGTTGATTCATCTTTTAAGAACTGCCTCAGCAAGCAACTGTGTCTACACCAGATTCAATTTGTTGCATAACTCAGTACAGAAAATCTTGCCCAGGTTAAGTCTTTAAGAAACTTAAAAATGAGACATATCCCTTTTCTAGGAATTATGTTTTAAGATTAATACCTTTATTATTTTTTAAAATATCAATCTAAGTCCAGCTGGCTCATTTATAGAAATTGATAAGATACTCCTAATATTCATAGAGGAGTGTGGGGAAGCCAAGCTGACAGATAAATCTTGAGTAGAGGAATACAAAATGAGCAGATTCAGATTCAGGATTTTAGAGCTTGCTGCCAAGTCACAGAAATGCTATGACATAGTTAACAATGTTAGACACATGGATCAATGTGATTTTAGAACTGAGAATCCAAAAATAAACCTTTGAAGTTGTGGTCAGTTGATTTTTGACAGGAATGAAAATCCAGTTTGGTAGTGAAAGAGTAGGGTCACTATTCTGGGCCAAATAGATGCCACATGCAAAAGAATGTGGATCCTATTCTCACCAAACTCAGAATTTCAAAGCTGAGGTATACCTTTCATATCAAAGACAAGACAAAGTGAAAGTAAATCAAAGAAAGATATTATGACATGGAATTGGTTGTAAGGCATACTTACAAAAATGTAAGAGGTGAAAAGTAAAAGATAAGCAGGGAAATAGAAAAACCTTTCTGTTTCAATTGACATAACAAAACAAAGTGATTCATGCAGTGCA